TGAACCCGAGAGGCGGAGGTTGCAGTGAGCTGAGATCCGGCCATTGCACTCCAGCCTGGGTGACAGAGCGAGCCTCCGTCTCAAAAAAAAAAAAAAAAAAAAAAAAAGGAGTTCATAAATGGCAATCCGGTTCTTCTTAGGCATCAACACCTCGGCGGCTCTAATTTTTTTATAGTCAAATGCAATAGTGTTCTTTTTCTTTTTTTATGTTTTTTCTTTTTTATAGTGATTATTTTTCTTATTTGGTGCAACAGACATTAACTGCGTACTCACTTTGTGGTGTAGTGGGAGCTGCTTCAAAGGACAAAAGTCTGACACTCCTGTTATTTGACACTCCTGTTATTTGGCGATTCAGTCTCCACGTCTGTAAAACGGGGTTTTACCTAATTCAGGGCTGCTGTGAGAAGTGTGAGCTAGTGAGTATTTGGAGAGAACAAGTACTTAATAAATGAGCCATCTCTTTCCTCCCCACGCCCATCTTAACCTTTAGAATGATCCTGTGACGTTCATATTATTATTATTTTTATGTATGTATGTATGTATTTATTTATTTATTTATTGAGACAGAGTCATGCACTGTCACCCAGGCTGGAGTGCAATGGCATGCTCTCGGCTCACTGCAACCTCCACCTCATGGGTTCAAGCGATTCTCCTGCATCAGCCTTCTGAGTATCTGGAATTACAGGCACTCGCCACCACGCCCAGATAAATTTTTGTATTTTTAGTAGAGACGGGATTTCACTATGTTGGCCGGGCTGGTCTCGAACTCCTGACCTCGTGATCCGCCCGCCTCGGCCTCCCAAAGTGCTGGGATTACAGGCATGAGCCACCACAACTGGCCTACATAGTATTATTATTCCCAATTTACAGAAAAGGAAACAGTCACTAGCGGATACTTAGAAAACGTTTGTGTCGTGAATAAATGAACGAGTGACTGAGTGAGTGGGTGCGTGGACGAATGAACGGATGAATGAATGAGCGGGTGTGCGTGGACCCTGCGGGCCGGGCACCCGGAGTCTCCCTCCTTTGCACCCTGGGCGCGTTGGAACCTCCTCGCGCGCTTGGCCACTCACTGCTCCTGGCAGTAGGGGCTGCGGGCCCCGCCGCTGTCCCCACCCAGGTATGGGGATGCGGAGTTGATGGGCGCGGGGCGCTGGGAGGGAGCAGATGAAAGGGGCAGATGAAAGAGGGGCAGAGCGCGCGGAGCGCAGCCAGGTCATTA